CAGCAGCAGCAGCAGCAGCAGCAGCAGCAGCAGCAGCAGCAGCAGCAGCAGCAGCAGCAGCAGCGGGAGCGGGAGGTGGGGAGGCCCACCTGCGCCACAGGATGTGCACTGCTCCAGAGTGTTGGCGAAAATCGTCGTGTACGTCCCAGGGGGACAAGGGAAACTCTCCAGCTGCAGTCATCAGCAGCAGCAGCAGCAGCAGCAGCAGCAGCAGCAGCAGCAGCAGCAGCAGCAGCAGCAGCAGCAGCAGCGGGGGGAGGGGGAGTCTGTTGGATCTGCTTTTTCTGGAGTGTTCTCCTGGCGTCTGTCTGTGTCGGTTGAGCAAGCTCCAATTAAACCAAAGGAGACAATTAAATTAAATTAATTAAATTAAATTAATTTAATTAATTTAATTAATTTAATTAATTTAATTAATTTAATTAATTTAATTAATTTAATTAATTTAATTAATTTAATTATTTGTTTGTTTACGCAGTCCCCGGGGGAAGAATGGTGCCTTTGATGACGGGCTCTTTTGGGTTGTCGAAGTTGTACGCGTAGCAGTATCTTCCCGCGGGGCAAATTTTGCAATTTTCCTGAAAAAAAGTTCAAATTTTGGATTTTAAAATGCCATTTTGGAGTCCCTTTTGGGTCCTTTTGAAGAAGGATTTTACTCCTTTTTAGAGACTCTAGTCCCCTTTTTATTCCACTTTTTGTCTCCTTTTTATTCCACTTTTTGTCTCCTTTTTATTCCACTTTTTGCCTCCTTTTTATTCCACTTTTCGTCTCCTTTTTAGAGACTTTAGTCCCCTTTTTATTCCACTTTTTGTCTCCTTTTTACACTTTTTGTTGCCTCAAAGGAGACACTTTATTAACTCCAAGGAGACACTTTTTATTGCCTCAAAAGGAGACAGTTAATTATATCGAAGGAGACAGTTTATTATAGCAAAGGAGACAGTTTATTATATCAAAGGAGACAGTTTATTATGTCAAAGGAGACACTTTATTAACTCAAAGGAGACACTTTTTATTGCCTCAGAGGAGACACTCTATTGCCTCAAAGGAAGCACTTTATTAGCTCGAAGGAGACAGTTTATTATATCAAAGGAGACACTTTATTATTTCAAAGGAGACACTTTTTATTGCCTCAAAAGGAGACAGTTAATTATATCAAAGGAGACAGTTTATTATATCGAAGGAGACAGTTTATTATATCAAAGGAGACAGTTTATTAACTCAACGGAAACCTTTTATTGCCTCAAAGGAGACAGTTTATTAACACAAAGGAAGCAGTTTATTAACTCAAAGGAGACACTTTATTATATCAAAGGAGACCTTTTATTGCCTCAAAGGAGACACTTTACTGCCTCAAAGGAGACACTTTATTAACTCAAAGGAGACAGTTTATTAACTCAAAGGAGACAGTTTATTATATCAAAGGAGACATTTTAATGCCTCAAAGGAGGCAGTTAATTATATCAAAGGAGACAGTTAATTATATCAAAGGAGACAGTTTATTAACTCAAAGGAGACAGTTAATTATATAAAAGGAGACACTTTAAACATTCTTCGGGGCCTCACCATGGACCTTATGCTGGTGCTGGCGTCCAGGTACCTCCCGGGGGGACAGGCCCTCTCGCTGAGGGCCCCCTGAGCAGCAGCAGCAGCAGCAGCAGCAGCAGCAGCAGCAGCAGCAGCAGCAGCAGCAGCAGCAGCTGACAGTTTCGCAGACTCCGAGGTGGTCGTTGGAGACACCAACAAGTCCCTCGTGGCCTATCTCCTTGTGTCCAGACACCGGAAGCTGCAGCGGCCCGTGGCAGAAGAGCACTGCGGTGTCTGTACAGCTCACGGAGGAGTAGTAGGCGCAAGAGCGAAGTTCCGAAGCTGAGGAGACAGTGTAAAAGTCTCCAAACACTTTTTCTGTTCTCCGCAGAGACAGAGAAGTCCCCGCCCGAAACTGCACGCAAACCCTAAACCCTAAACCCTAAACCCTAAACCCTAAACCCTAAACCCTAAACCCTAAACCCGCGCGCAAGCGCCGCACCGAACGCCGCCAGCGCGCTGCACGCACTTAACCCTAAACCCTAAACCCTAAACCCTAAACCCTAAACCCTAAACCCTAAACCCTCACGGGGGAGGAAGGCTGTGGGGGGGGTTCGGGGGTTTGCGTTTGGGGGTTTGGAATGGGTTCGCATTTTTGGGCGAAGTTGCTGCAGCTGGTGTCCAGTGCAGCTTTTTCGCTGACTCGGTGTCCCCTGAAGACAAACCACAAACAAACTTGGCTAGCTGGTGGCTAGCTGGTGGCTAGCTGGTGGCTAGCTGGCTCGCTCTTGGCTAGCTGGGGCCTAGCTGGTGGCTGGCTGCTGTTTAGCTGTTGGCTAGCTAGCTAGCGAGCTGGCTAGCTGCTAGCTAGCTAGTTGGCTAGCTCGCTGTTGGCCAGCTAGCCAGCTAGCCAGTTATCTGCCTATCTGCCAGCTAGCTAGCTAGCTATCTGCCCATCTGCCGGCTCGCTCGCTCGCTGGCTAGCTAGCTCCCTCGCCCGCTGGCTGGCTGGCTAGCTAGCTGGCTAGCTAGCTGGCTAGCTGGCTAGCTAGCTGGCTAGCTAGCTGGCGGACTCTGGGCAGGGGAAGAATTTGCCGGCCCAGCAGATCCCCCCGGGGGGACAGGCGGGGTCTGAGAAGTGGGAGTGGCAGCGCGCGAGCGGCCGCGGCCAACGGGCGCTCGCGGGATCGCTCGCGGCGTCGCTCGCGGCGTCGCTCGCGAGCGGCAGCGCAGCCAAGGGGGAGGGGCACTCGAAGCCGCGCGGGCACGGAACGCAGCGGCGCTCGCGAGCGAGCGCGCGAGCGACCGGGCGACCGGGAGCGGGATCGGATGTGGGGTCGGGATCGCCGCTGGGATCGCCGCTGGGATCGCCGCTGGGATCGGGATCGCCGCTGGGATCGGGATCGATGGTGGGATCGGGATCGAGGCTGGGATCGGGATCGAGGCTGGGATCGGGATCGATGGGGCGGGCGGTCTCGAGGACGACGTGGCCGGGGGGGCAGGCGGCGGGGGGCTGCGCGGTGTCTGTACACTCGAAGCCGGGGGGGCAGGGCCGACAGCGCAAATCTCCAGGAAGAGAAAAGGAGAAGAAGGGGGGACAAGGTGTCAAGACACCCGAGAGGCAGGAGAAGCCCCCCGGACACAACAGGCAGGAGTCCCCTTCCACCAGCCCTGCATGCATGCGCAACGCATGCACTCTTCCAGTCCACGCATGCATGCAGCAGTGCATGCATGCATGCATGCAACAGTGCGTGCATGCATGCATGCAACGGTGCATGCATGCATGCATGCAACAGTGCATGCATGCATGCAACAGTGCAGAGGCCCCTTCCACCAGCCCTGCTTGCATGCGCAGCGCATGCACTCTTCCCAGTCCGCGCATGCATGCAGCAGTGCATGCATGCGTGCATGCATGCACAAGTGCATGCATGCGTGCATGCATGCATGCATGCATGCATTGTGGCAGTTGTCTATGCTGTTGACTTTTGTGGTTTGTGCAGTTGTTTTCACTGTATTCCATTATATTTATTATATTCAGTTATTTTCGTGATATTTATTTATATTTATTTTTTTCAATTATTTTGCTGTTTTCAATTCTATTTACTGTTTTCTATCACTTGTGTTTTCAATTGCTTTTATTGTTTTCAGTCATTTTTATTTTATTGAATTTTTCTTTTGAAAAAGTGTAATAAGTATATTTATATGTTTTATAATGACACATCTATTATATTGCATTGACGAGCAGCAAAAGTGCCTCCTTTCAGCAGCAAAAGTGCCTCCTTTCAGCAGCAAAAGTGTCTCCTTTCAGCAGCAAAAGTGTCTCCTTTCAGCAGCAAAAGTGTCTCCTTTCTGCAGCAAAAGTGTCTCCTCTCAGCAGCAAAAGTGTCTCCTTTGACCTGAGGGGCAGGCAATGGGGGGCTGGTCGGGCTTGGGGCAGAAGTGGCCTTGGGGACACTTTTCGCACTTCGTGCGCAGCAGCAGCAAAGTCGATCCCAACTGTCCCTTTTTGCATGCAGCAGCAACTCCGTCTTTGCATGCAGCCCCGAGGGGGCAGCGCATGCAGACTCCTTCTGGGGACAAGTGCAGCCCCGGCCCGCAGGGCGCAGCGCTGCAGCAGCAGCAGCAGCAGCAGCAGCAGCAGCAGCAGCGGCAGCAGCAGCAGCAGCGGCAGCAGCAGCGGTAAGGGGTTGGTTCCGCCAAAGCGAGCAGCAGCAGCGGCTGCTGCAGCAGCTGCGCAGGCTTCAGCAGCAGCAGCGCCAGCAGCAACGCCGCAGCAACTCGAAACTGCCGCAGCAGCAGCAGCAGCAGCAGCAGCAGCAGCAGCAGCAGCAGGAGCAGCAGCAGCAGCGGGAGGCGCACTGGCTAGGCTGGACTTGGGTCTCTTCGCGGGAAGAGACAGAAGGAGACACTTGGCAGTTCGCGCAGCCCCACACTGGAGTGCTGCCGTAAGAGTCCACCAGCTGGAGACTCAGGTCTTTGCACCTGCAGCAGCAAAGGGTTTAGGGTTTAGGGTTTAGGGTTTAGGGTTTAGGGTTTAGGGTTTGGGGCTCAGGGTTTGCGCTTGCGAGCGGTAGCTGTTTAGCATGAAAGGAGACAGACGCAAAAGGGAAAAAGGAGACAAAAGAGACAAAAAAGCAAAAAGACAAAAGAGACAAAAAAGAAAAGAAAAAGACAAAAAAGAAAAAAAAGACAAAAAAGAAAAAAGAGACAAAAAAGAAAAAAGAGACAAAAAGACGAAGACAGAAGAAACAAAAGAAAAGAAGAACAAAGACCCAAAAGCTACAGAGACAAAAGCGAAAGACACAAAAGAAACTCCAACAAAACAGTCCCCCGGGGGCCCCCTGGGGGGCCCCTGGGGCCCCCTGGGGGCCCCTGGGGGCCCCTGGGGGCCCCCTTGGGGGCCCCTGGGGCCCCCTGGGGGCCCCTGGGGGCCCCTGGGGGCCCCCTTGGGGGCCCCTGGGGGCCCCTGGGGGCCCCTGGGGGCCCACTCACTGGTGTCCGGGGGGGCAGAGGGTACAGGGCGAGGCGGGGGGCCCCTGGCAGCGGAGGAGTTTGCCGGCGGCGCAGAGAAAGCCTCGGGGACAGTCTTTGCAAGTGGCGGAGTCTCTGTCGAAAAAGGAGACACTTGAGCAGCTGGAGTTGGAGACAGCCACCACCTGCAGCTGCCCAATTGCTGCTGCTGCTGCTGCTGCTGCTGCTGCTGCTGTCTCCAGCCTGCAGTCCGCGGAGACGGCGGGCTGCAGCAGCAGCCGCACGCTCGGGGGGCCCCCCGGGGGGCCCCCCGGGGGGTGGGGGCCCCCCAGGGGGCCCCCGAAGCAGCGCGCCGTGGCCTTCACAGGGTACCCGTCGCCCCGCCGGCAAGCAGCAGACACGCAGGACTGCAGCAGCTGCTGCTGCGCGAGGGGCCCCCCAGGCACAACAAGTTCGAAGAGGGCCTCGTTTTTTGGCATGAGGGCCCAAGTTTTGACCAGCTGGGGGGCCCCGTCCACCCCCGCCAACGCCCACAGGGGCCCCGCAGGAAGCACTGACACAGTACCCCCCAGCGGCAGCAGCTGCAAGTCCCCCCCCCGTCTCCAGTCCCGGGGCCCCAAGTCGAAGCTCAGAGTGCACGACTTCGCCGTGCAGCCCCCGCCTTCCGCCACCACCAGGGCCTCCACTTCCGCCTCTTCCCAGGGGCCCTCGGGGGCCCCCGGGGGGCCCCCCCGCCCCGGGGGGCCCCCCGGGGGGCCCCCCGCGGGGCCCCCGGGGGGCCCCTCCCCCCCCTGGGGGCCCCCCGGGGGGCCCCCAGCGGGGGCCTGGGGGGGCCCCCCCTCGGGGGGCCCCTCGGGGGGCCCCTCGGGGGCCCCCGGAGGGGGCAGTTCGATGTCAGTGCCCGGCAAAGGCCGCAGCAAACGGAGGGCCCCCCCAGCAAAAACCCGAACTCGAATGGGGCCCTTTGCTGCTGCTGCGCGCTGCAGGCGGCAGCGGACGGAGACGGGGCGGCCGGAGATGGTGGGGGCCCCCCTGCGCCGCGGGGGGGGCCCCCAAAGGGACTCGTCGGTGAAGTCGTCGACGTAGGTCTGCACTCTGCAGTGTACAGACACCGTAGGGGGGATCCCCACGCCCGCGGGGGACAGCTCTGCTGCTGCTGCTGCTGCTGCTGCTGCTGCTGCTGCTGCTGCTGCTGCAGGAGGAGCAGCAAGGTCCGCCGCAGTGGGCTCGAAAGGAGACACTTCGTGCTGCACTTCAAGGACAACTGGGGACTGTCCCTCAGCAACAGCAGCAGCAGCAGCAGCTGCTGCTGCCATGGGGAACTCCAGCTCAACTGCCACGCGCTGCTGCCAGTCTTCCGGCCTGAAGACCACCAACTCCTCCAGCTGCTGCTGCTGCTGCTGCTGCTGCTGCTGCTGCTGCTGCTGCTGCTGCTGTCCCCCGACGCGCAGCAGCAGCTGGGTCCCCAGGGCCTCCTCGGGGGGCCCCCCTGTCCCCTTTTGGCGGCGGGGCCTCACAGCAACAGCCAGGGGGCCCCCCGGCTGTTTGGAGAGACCCAACAAGTACCCAAAAGTGGGTCTTTCCAGGGTCACTTCAGCAGCAAAAGGGGTAAACACGAGGCAGGGGGGCCCCCCGGGGGCCCCCTCGCAGTCTGGGGGGCCCCCCTGTACCCTGTCTCCTGTCTCCTTTTCAACCACTGTCCCCCCCAAAAGATGCACTTCTGCTATCACTAACTTCGGGCCCATTAAAGCGGCGGAGGCCCCCGCGGGGGCCCCACTACCCTGGGGGCCCCCGGGGGCCCCCGGGGCCCCTGGGGCCCCCGGGGCCCCCGGGGCCCCCGGGGCCCCCGGAGAGCTGCAGGCCGTTGTGGGGTGGGGCCTGCTGCTGCAGAGGCAGCAGCAAGTAGGCGGGAGGCAGCAACTCGAAGTTGGAGACAGTCTCCAAAAGGGCCTTTCCAGCAGCAAAAGAAATGCTGCAGAGCCTTGGCAGCAGCAGCAGCAGCAGAGACACAGAAGGAGACAGTTGGGAGGGCCCCAGAGTCAGCTGCCAGGTGGCGCGGCCCCCCCGCAGCAGCTGGGGCCCGAGCCCCTGCAGCGGCACGCCGTCTGCTGCTGCTGCTGCTGCTGCTGCTGCTGCTGCTGCTGCTGGGCCCTGCTGCAGCAGCAAAGACACGGAGCCGCAGTCAGCAGCAACAAGCCGCCCTTTGGAGTCCACCACTTCTGCTGTCAGGGCTGTACGTACACCTGGAATCAACACCGGCGGGTACGCCCACACCCGCAGCCTGTGGGGCAGTCCCGCTGCGCTGCTGCTGCTGCTGCTGCTGCTGCTGCTGCTGCTGCTGCTGCTGCTGCTGGTGTTGGTGTTTGCGAGGGCTTCGGGGGAGACGCCCGACCACTGGATGGGGCAAGAAGGACTGAAGAGTCTCTCGAGCTGCTGCTGCTGCTGCTGCTGCTCAGCAGCAGCAGCAGCAGCTGCTGCTGCTGCAGCGCCTGGAAATGGGGGGCCCCCTGTCTCCTCCGGCAGCAAACTGGACAAAGTGTCTCTCTTTTGCTGCTCCAAGGGGGCCCCCCCAGCCTTCTCTAAAGGCATCAGGGGGGCCCCCTGGGGGCCCCCCTGGGGAGACACTGGGGACTCTTTTGGGCCATTTTTAGTGTCTCCTTTGAGGGCTTTTGGCAGCGCAGCAGGAGCAGCAAAAGCAGCAAAAGGGAAGAGCAGCAGCAGCAGCAGCAGCAGCAGCAGCAGCAGGCCCCTAGGGGCCGGGGGGGGGCGCATTGTCTCTAGGAGACGCAAAAGGAGACAGACACCCCGGGCTCCAGTTGCTGCTGCTGCAGCAGCTGCAGCAGCAGCAGCAGCAGCAGCAGCTGCAGCAGGGCCCGCAGGTGTGGGGCCCCACAGCGGAGCTGCTGCAGCTTCAGTTAAGGCCTAGGCCTTCGCACTAAAGCAGCAAAAGGAGACAGAAAGGAGACAGGGGCCCCCAGCTGCTGCGAGAGGCCCCTCAGCAGCAGCCACTCGCGCTGCTGCTGCTGCTGCTGCTGCTGCTGCTGCTGCTGCTGCTGCTGCTGCTGCTAGGTGGGACCTAAAGTGGCTAGCTGGGGCTGCTCGGAGACAGAAGGCCAAAAGGAGACAGACAGCTGGCTAGGAGTGCTAGTTGCAGCAGCAGCAAATAAAGTCTTTTTAAAACTATTTCAAAAACTATTTTTTATTTCAAAAATTAATTCTTTTTCTCTTTTGTCTCTTTCAAGTGTCTCTTCTTCGCCGCACCACGGGGGCGCTGGGGTGTACGTACACTGCGGCGGCCAGGAGACACCGCCTCGCGCGCAGCAGCAAACCGAAACAAATCTGAAGCAGCAGCAAGCAGCAGCAGCAGCAACAGCAGCAGCAGCAGCAGCAGCAGCAGCAGCAGCAAAGCGGCAGCAGCGCCGGGGCTGCAGCCAGCTGTCTCCTGTCTCCTGTCTCCTTTTCTTGCTTTGTGGGGTTTTGTTTGTTTGCTGCAGTTTGCCATTAATGCCATTAATGCCATTAATGCCATTAATGCCATTAATGCATTAAAATGGCAAAATGGCAAATAACAAAATGAAAACCCTAAAATGGAGACTAAACCACAAAAAGGGGTCTCCTTTTCTTCAAAAAGTCTCCAAAAACCCTTTTTAATCCTTTAATTCCTTTTAAATTACTTTTAATTATATTTTTATTTTTTTATTTCATTTTTTATTTATTTCGCTTTTCCGAATTTTCAAACTTCCCTTTGCATGCACGGCTCCCGGGTGTACAGACACCTCGCGGGGTCACCTGGCGGCTGCGCGGGAAAAGAAAGAAAGCGGAAATAAATAATTAAAATATATTTATTTAATTAAAATTAAATAAATATATTATTTGCAATTAAATTAATTTTAATTAAATATAATATTCATCCTGATTAAAAGAATTTGCGGTGTGCAAAAGACGGCTAAGACGAAGACAGGAACTAAACCCTAAACCCTAAACCCTAAACCCTCGCGCACGAGCCGTGAACCCGAAAACCCTAAACCCTAGGCCTTAAACCCTAAACCCTAAACCCTCGAGCGAATCAGAAACCCGTCGCCTGCTCTCTAAACCCTAAGCGCTGAAGCCGAAAACCCTGGGTTACCTTCCACAGTATCTGTTTCTTCATGCTCTATAGGACAAACCCTAAACCCTAAACCCTAAACCCTAAACCCTAAACCCTAGAGAGTATACTTTTGTCGGCTCCTATATATGCCGTTTTTGGTTTTTTAGCAGACTTAAGCCACGCCGAGGGTCACTCAGAGTCGAGGGTTTACATTTTGGGGTTTAGAGTCAACAGTTGAGAGTTTAGGGTTTAGGGTTTGGGGTATAGGGTTCGTAATTAGGGGTTTAGGGTTTAGGCTTTGGGGTCTAGGGTTTGCCTGCACTAAACGCCAAGATAATTGGACTGCGCTGATCATTTTTTGAGGCTCTAGGGTTTAGGGTTTAGGGTTTAGGGTTTAGGGTTTAGGGTTTAGTGTTGGGTGCCCTGGGCACCATCTGCTCGGTTTTGTAGCAGCAGCAGCGCAAGTGCTGCTGCTGCTGCTGCTCGCAGCAGCAGCAGCTAGCCGAGCAGCAGCACCAGATGAACAGCACAGCAGCAGCAGCCGCAGCAGCAGCAGCAGCAGCAGCAGCTGCCACAGCTTTGTTTTTCCTCATTTTAATTTTAATTTTAATTTTAATTTTAATTTTAATTTTAATTTTAATTTTAATTTTAATTTTAATTTTAATTTTAATTTAAAATTTTGTATTTGTGTCTCCATTTGGTTCTCCATTTTTGTCCCTTTCTCTCTTTTTGTCTCTTTTTTATTTTTGTCTTTTTCCTTCTCAGACGTTTGTGCTGCGATTTAACTTAAGCGTCAGCTTTGCTGCTGCTGCTGCTGTTGCTGCTGCTGCTGTTGCTGCTGCTGCTGTTGCTGCTGCTGCTGTTGCTGCTGCTGCTGTTGCTGCTGCTGCTTTTGTTGCCGCTGCTGTTGCTGGTGCTGTTGTTGTTGCTGCTGCTACTGCTGCTGCTGTTGTTTCTGCGGCTGTTGCTGCTGCTGCTGTTGCTTCTGCTGCTGCTGCTGTTGGTGCTGCAGCTGCTGCTGCTGTTGCTGCAGCAGCTGTGGCTGTTGCTGCTGCTGCACTCTTGTGCTCACTGTTGCGTCTCTTCCTCAAATCTTCCTCTCAGTCTCTTTTTGCTCTAGCCCTAAACCCTAAACCCTAAACCCTAAACCCTAAACCCTAAACCCCAAGCTCTTAGCCAATGTCTCTTTCCAGCTGGCCACTGCTTTTCAGTCGCGCTGGAAATCAAACGCAAAGGCCTATTGTCTAGGGTTTAGGGTTTAGGGTTTAGGGTTTTGGGGTTTAGGGTTTAGGCAAGCAACTGCCCACCCTACGCACATTTCTCTTTCTTGCATTGCTTCAATGCTTTTGCTTCAAGAGCGGTCTAGGCTTTGCCGCCTAGGGTTTAGGGTTTAGGGTTTAGGGTTTAGGGTTCCATTTAGCCCTGAATTAGGGTTTAGGGTTTAGGGTTTCTTGCGTTTTGGTTCCACTGGGCCTCTGTCTCCTCATCATGACTAGCTCCATCCGAAAGCTCTTCATCTCCTGGCCGGGGCTCACTCCCAGATCTAGGGTTTAGGGTTTAGGGTTTAGGGTTTAGGGTTTAGGGTTTAGGCCTCCTCCTGAACGGATTCTTCTTCTTCCTGCACTTCT